AACCCCCCCCCCCCAATTCTTCCTAAATCTCTAGTTTTCTAACATGGAAGAACAAGGATTAGGGCTAGAAATTAATAGGTGATGTTAGAAATGAAAGAAAATGAGTTAGAGTGTACAAACCTATGAATTGGCGTTGAGTTTTCCCTTCAAAATCGCCTCTAGGCCGTGCTCTAATGGAGAGTTTATGAAAAATGGAAGAAACCTCGTTTTTGGACTATTTTAAATCACTGGCACCAGGCCTTCTTCGTGTTCGTGAAGGGCCTGACGCGATCGCGAAGCACAACAGATCATTGGCCTGCACGTTCACGAGTTACCCTTCGCGTTCGGGAGTTACCATTCGCGTTCGTGAAGACTTGCACCCACATGCCCCTGCGTTCGCGGTCCCAGTGTCGCGTTCGCGAAGAGTAACGGTCAGTTTCCCCCTCCCAAGCCCATGCCCCTACGCGTTCGCGAGAAGCTGGTCGCGTTCGCGAAGGGTAAAACCCCAACACTCCACGTTCGCGACCCAACTATCGCGTTCGCGATGAAGAAAATCATCCCTTGTCCCAAACTCCTCTTCGCGATCGTGAAGCACATCACACCAGCAGCGGAAGCTCAAGAAAACAGATATTTTCTAAGTTCAAATGGTCCGTAGGCTATCCGAAACTCACCCGAGCCCTCGGGGCTCCAAACAATATATGCACACAGGTCCAAAAACCTCATACAAACTCGCTCGCTTTATCAAAATACCAAAATAACATCTAGAACTATGAATCGGACACCAAATCAAATGGAATTTTCAATGAACTTAAGAATTTTTATTTTAACAACCGGACGTCCCAATCACGTCAAATCACTTCCGTTTTGCACCAAATTTGGCAGACAAGTCATAAATATCATAATGGACCTATACTAAGTTTCGGAACTAAAATCCGGACCTGGTATCGATAAAGTCAAACATCAGTCTAATTTATAAATTCTTTAAACTTTTAAACTTCAAATTTTCAACAAATTGTGATAACTCGAGCTAGGGACCTCCGAATTCGATTTCGGGCAGACGCCTAAATATCAAATCATGATACATACCCACCGGGACCGTCAAAACACGGATCCGGGGTCTGTTTTCTCGAAATGTTGACCGAAGTCAACTCAAATAAATTTTTAAGGTACGAATTCACATTTTAATCAATTTTTCTCATAAAAGCTTTTTAGAAAAAGGCGCGGACTGCGCAGGCAAATCTAGGAAGGATAAAAGAAGTTATTTGAGGTTTCAGAATATAGAATTAAGATTTAAAACTTTAAATGACCTATTGGTTCATCATATTCTCCACCTCTATAATAACCTTTCGTCCTCGAACGGACATAGAAAAGTACCTAGACTGGTGAAAAGGTGTGGATATCTACTCTGCATATCCGACTCGAACTCCCAAGTGGCTCCCTCTACCGGCTGACCTCTCCACTGCACTCGAACTGAAGGATAACTCTTAGACCTCAACTGTTGGACCTGCCAGGCTAGAATAGCCACTGGCTCCTCCTCATAAGTCAAATCCTTATCCAACTGGAGTGAACTGAAATCTAACACATGGGACGGATTACTGTGATACTTTCGGAGCATGAAAACATGGAACACCGGATGAATTGCTGATAAACTAGGTGGC